ACCTGGGTGTTAGTCAGCTGTCACGGGCTGCTTCCTGGGGGTGAAGGCCTGGTCGAGGACCGGGCCGCGGGGACACTAAAGCCTCGAAATCATCTCAAGATAACCTCATGATATATCAGTTATACTTTCCAGGTGTTCGGATATCAAGCAATTTCTTAGAACAGTTTCTCATTGAATGTTTGAATGCCCCCCTGTTTGTTTGTATGTTTGTAATTTTTTTCCCAGTCAATCATTTTATTATTAATATTAAATTTACTGAATAACCCCTCTCGCATGATCATTGTTTAAGGTCTATTATGAGCATTGATGTTAGTTTGCACTTCAACGAGCTTGTGATTTGAGTTTGTGGTATCTGAGATCATAATGTCCCTGAGTATGTCTTCATTGTTTGTGAAGACCAGATCTAGTATATTTTAGTTCCTAGTTGGCTCTTTTATTGAGTGAAAATTTATCACAGAATCTAAGTATTCCCTAATCTGTGGTTGGTTATGTCCAGATAGATTTCCTGGTATAATATTATTGTTTGCTATTTTTCATCTTAGACTAGGCAGGTTTAAGTCACCTAGGAAGGTAATATCAGGTAATGGGTTTACCAAATTATCGAGGCTATTCTCTATTTTGTTTATCTGTTCAGTGAATTCCTAATCCGTTGCATCTGGTGGTTTGTATATTACTATAATATCTTTATTTACTCTATTTTTACTCCTAGTAACTTATTCCCAGAAAAAAAAGAGTTGGAAGAAATAAACAGCATTCCAAGAAAAGCACTCTATAACACGTAAACAGAAAATCCAGATATTATCATTTGAGCAAAATAAGCTTTCAGAATTTCAAAATTCAAAGAACAAAGCCCTCCAAATGGCTTTAAGCTCTTCGCGAAAGTCAGTTGTTACCAAAATACCAAAAAACAGAAAAGTCAGTATTGGACAAATTAACTAACAACTGCCGTCCTTTCCCACAGTGGAACGTCTGTCACCCAAATGCCGAAACAAAAATCCCATATGGTTGGACCTCCGAGAAGGAGACTATAATGAAGACGGGGCCACTGCCCAATGCTCAGACACCACACAATGCCAATCTTAATCAAGTGTCAGCAAACCTCGAACCACAATATACTGATTCAAAAGCAGGAAGTCAGATTCGTTAATCCTGATCACCCAGGAAACCTCCTCTCGCGGAACAGAATATGAAGAAAAAGGGTGAAGGAAACTGACTCCAAAGCTACTCCAAAACGAGCATTTCCAACTAAAAAGTTAACTGAGCCTTTTAGAAGTTCACCCCAACACCAGCAGGAGGTGGAGACCGAACGTGGCACAGCCCAATTGTGATTATTGTTGGAAAAATAAAATAGCTGCACCTGGCACCTGATGCCAAAATTTCTGACCACCTAGTAGGCAAGGAGCAAATGTTTTTTTTGGGCCAGATGCTTCCCACAACAATGAGTCAAAGGTAAAAAAAACAAAACTGGTCACGAAGGAAGGAAAGATGCAAGTGGCTGACTTACCAGGAGCTGTAACAAGGTCAAAAATATGTCAGAGAAAATGCAGAAAAGATTGCCCAAAACACTGTTGAAGTTATGTGACGCGCGAACATTTAGGAAGGCAAGATGCATATAAAAAAACCCTAAGAAGTATGTGTGTGTTTTAGCCGAGGTAGAGATCCAGCCCAAACAGAAAAACGACAATGGAGCCAACCCTGATGACAGATCCAGAAAACAAAGGTGGAATTGGAAGAAGTGCCTCAGCTGGAGAAGATGACAACATGCCTCAAATTGAAATAAATCAGGAGTGCGAATTATCTTTAAAATGCCACTGGTAAAATGAAAAGACCCAACTATGCAAATCAAAAGCTTCAAACCCTGCCGAATTAAAGATGAATGCCAAATATAACAGGAAAACAGAAAATCCAGATATTATCACTTGAGCAAAATAAGCTTTCAGAATTTCAAAATTCTAAAGAACAAAGCTCTCCAAATGTTTTTAAGCCCTTCGCAAAAGTCAGTTGTTACCAAAATACCAAAAAAACAAACACCTGTCAGGAAACAACTGTCAGGGTGCCTGACAGTTGGGTGGACAGCGCTTCGGATTCGTAGTCCTGAGGTTTCGGGTTCGATCCCCCGATGAAGGCGGAGACAAATGGGCAAAATGTTTCTTTCACCGTTATGCACCCATTACCTAGCAGTAAATAAGTATCTGGGAGTTAGACAGCTGCTACGGGCTGCTTCCTGTGGGAGGGGGGGGGGGGAGTGTAACAAAAAGGAGGCCTGGTCGAGGACCGGGCCGCGGGGACGCTAAACCCCGAAATCATCTCAAGATAACCTCAAGATAACCCATAATAGGGAATGAGGCATCAAAAACGACTATTAGGACACCCTAAGAACAAGAGAACAAACTTAGCAGTCAAAAGATGGCATGGAGTCTCAGCATAAATCCAGATCATAAATAAAGATCAGCCCCAAAGCACCAAGGATCTCCGGACTCCACAAAGAAGATGGGGCAAGGCAGGTGACCTCAAATTGAAGCAGCCAGACCGTCCACAAGAAGCCAGAGAAAAACAGAAAATGCAACCAGTGAACAAGCCAGCAGCATAGGGCGGCTAACCCGACCAGGTTCACAACAACAAAACAGTGAGCCCTAAACAGCAAAGTAGCCAACATCCACGAAGCCATAGCCTAAAATGTTGGTGTGGCCCACAACAAAGGCAATCGGCCACACCATCAACACTGAAGATAAAAGCACCCATCAATCCAAGATACTGATTTAGCACAAATAGAAGGGTGACCAACGGCCATCATCAAGCTGGGAAACACCCAGAGAAAACAGAAACTGCAACAGCAGGCTTGGAATGGAGCACCAAAACCCCCCTCTAAGACTAAACTTGGAAGGAAACCATAAGCACCAATTCAGTCACAGACCAGCTGGAAGGCTGCGTGCCCGGGAATTTATGTTGCAGTTCACATTATCCCTTTACCTGAGAAAATAAACAAAAGAGAGGCATAAACCCCCTGCTGGACCAAGTGCTGGAAACAAACCCATGGTTCACTCACAGAAGTAAAAACAGCAATAATACCCAACCATCAGGCCTCAAAGACCGGATACTTTGCTATCGGAACTGAATTCGGCAGCTCTGCAGCAGCTGCAGCGGAAGCTGTGTCCACGATATTCATCCACTTCATGAGAATTTCTGTAGTGGCTTTCTTTGATATTCATTTTGCAAGTCTGTCTGTCTTGTCTCTCATGCCAATTTTCCCTCTGGTCTCTGTAAGAGGAGATTTCCCATGTGCTCCCATTGCCGCTGCTGTGTTACAACTGATCTTGGTAATTCTGTGGTGTGGTTTTTTCCAGCTATGAGCCTTTGGGCTTCAAAGATTTAGGCCTCACTTCCGACTTCTTGTGATAAGGGATCTGTCCCGGTTGGCAGGGCTAGGATTCTACGTCGTTTCATGGAAATTCCAGCTAATGCTGGCCCAGGTTATAAAGTTTATGGGCCACGGTAGCATCCTTTTTACCGCAGCTAATGGTTATGACTCTGTGTACGTCTTTCATCCATTGTGTGGTGTCATGCACTCGGATTTGTCATTGGCATCTGTATAGGTTGTACAACAGCCAGTTTTGCCTGCGTAACTTACATGATAGGTGAAGTATAGCTGTCGGCTCTGTACCGGTTCCTCCAGTAGAGCCTCTTTCAGTTTTTGCTAAAGGGAGGAGATGCTAATATCCCAGGAGGGATCTGTGCTGGTCAGCCAAACCCACCATTGAAAGCACACCATTGCCTATAGACATTAATTAACCATGTAATTAGCTGCCAAAAACCGAATTAGATCAATACATACCATTAACCAATATTTAAGTTCAACATATTAGAATATTAGACGAACAATGAATAAAGCCTGCAGATGGCATGGGGGAATGGATAATCAGCAGGAAGGCTAAACTTGACCATTATCCGAACCATTTTAGTCATCTGGGCCCCGGGATAAGAAACTAGAGACACCGGGTTAACAAATTAGTCTATCATGCCTTCACCCAGTAATGGCTACACTCCGGACACTGTGGTTCCCAACTCCGGACACGGCGACCTTTCCACTCCGGACATGGCAACCTCTCCACTCCAGACACGGCGACCTCCCGACTCCAGACACGGCGACATCCCCACTCCAGACATGGCGACCTCACCACTCCAGACATGGCGACCTCCCCACTCCAGACATGGAGACATCCCCACTCCAGACATTGCGACCTTCCCACTCCTGACATGATGACTTCTCCACCCTCCGTCCCCCATTCCGGACACTGTGATTTCCCCCCACTCACTCGGAATTCAGCGACCTGCCCACCTTTAATCCCCACTCCGGGCACAGCGACCTCCTCACCACCACTCCGAACACGGCCACCTCCCTTCCTCCCCCACTCCGGAGAGGGTGACCTCCCCAACCCCCACTCCCGACACAGCGACGCTCCCACCCACTCCCACACGAAACACGGCGTCCACTCTTCACCTTCACTCCGGACAGAGCGACCTCCCCATCCCCACTCGAGACAGGGCAACTTCCCTTTCTCCCTTCTTATTAATCGGGAAAAAGAGGATTCTTTTCAATAATAATTAAATGAAGCGCTTTTTTCTGCTGAGTCTCTCGGCAGCTCCCTATTCGTTTCCAGTTTCAATCTGTGGTATTTAGGAGTCGTTGCTTAGTTAGACCATGTGTGACTGAGTTGGAGGGCCAGATTCTGCTCTTAGGCTCTGATAAACACTTGAGACTGCTGTCAGACTGATGGAGACTCTCCGCTACGTAACTCGGGAAACCACTAAGGGACTCTCAGAGAGAGACTCGTTTAGTTATATTAAAAACTGTTTTTTTTACCTCATTTGTCATTAAAGTTATGATTTGAAATAAAGTATAAATTATTTATTTTAACTTTGTAGGTCTGTAGATACGATATTACTTTGAGAAACAATATGTAATTATTTGATCACTGCTGAAACTTGTTTAATATTTTCAGGTGATATTGAACGCTTAACACACTTTTATGGAATAGTGGCACTTCTGTTCGTGATGAACCTCCTGCTGCTGGGCCACACCGTCTTCATGTTATACCAGGCTGGCAGCGCCTTCCAGTGCTGTGCCCGCCAGTTCAACATCACCGCATTTAACAGACATCACCTTGAAATGTATGTGTTTTCATTGTCTTATTGTTTAAGCTTTGTCTTTACTATTATAAAAAATAAAAATGTATGAAATAATTGTATGCCGTGTTATTTGTATACGGTATACCAATACAACAATTGTATTAGCCACAATCAACTCTCCTGGAGATACGAGACTCAACTTCCATAATAACATCAACTTGTTGCTCAAATCAATACCAATTAGTTTTTCTTCGGTTTTCTGCCAATCGAAGCTACGGCTGAACTGCTTTTTATATTTCGAAGGCCCTTGTAGCAAATTAGAATTTCAGCAAAATATAATGATGTGTAAATGGAATCGAAAATCTTTGATGGCCACAAGTGATTAAAAAAGAACAAAAATCTGTGTTTGATAAAACCCAACAGAGGTGTTGCAAACTTCCATGTGAAAAACTTGCGGCCAAGATGAACCGAAATCGAAAAACTAACATGTTCGGGGATACGGAGGTCACAAAAGACATATGATGGTCGCACACGACATATGGTGGTCGCACAAGACATATGGTGGTCGCACAAGACAAATGGTGGTCGCACAAGACATATGGTGGTCGCACACGACATATGGTGGTCGCACAAGACATATGGTGGTCGCACAAGACAAATGGTGGTCGCACAAGACATATGGTGGTCGCACAAGACAAATGGTGGTCGCACAAGACATATGGTGGTCGCACAAGACAAATGGTGGTCGCACAAGACATATGGTGGTCGCACAAGACATATGGTGGTCGCAAAAGACATATGGTGGTCGCACAAGACAAATGGTGGTCGCACAAGACATATGGTAGTCGCACACGACATAGGGTGGTCGCACACAACATATGGTGGTCGCATAAGACATATGGTGGTCGCACAAGACATATGGTAGTCGCACACGACATAGGGTGGTCGCACACAACATATGGTGGTCGCACAAGACATATGGTGGTCGCACAAGACATATGGTAGTCGCACATGACATAAGGTGGTCGCACACAACATATGGTGGTCGCCCAAGACAAATGGTGGTCGCACAAGAAAAATGGTGGTCGCACAAGACATATAGTGGTTGCCCAAGACAAATGGTGGTCGCACAAGACATATGGTGGTCGCACAAGACATATGGTGGTCGCACAAGACATATGGTGGTCGCACAAGACCAATGGAGGTCGCACAAGACATATGGTGGTCTCACAAGACATATCGTGGTCGCACAAGACATATGGTGATTGCATACGACACATTGTGGTCGCCCAAGGCATTTGGTAGTCGTCCAAGACATATGGTGGTCGCACAAGACATATGGTGGTCGCCCAAGAACAAAGGGTGGTCGCTCAAGACATATTGTGGTCGCACAAGACATATGGTGGTTGCTCAAGACATATGGTTGTTGCTTAAGACATACTGTTGTCGTCAAAGACAAATGGTGGGCGCACAAGACATTTGGTGGTCGCCCAACACATATGGTGGTCGCACAAGACATATAGTTATCGCACTAGACATATGGTGGTCGCCCAAGACATATAGTGGTTGCCCAAGACATATAGTGGTTGCACAAGACATATAGTGGTTGCCCAAGACATATAGTGGTTGCACAAGACATATGGTGGTCGCAGAAGACATATGGTGGTTGCCCAAGACATATAGTGGTTGCACAAGACATATGGTGGTCGCCCAAGACATATAGTGGTTGCACAAGACATATGGTGGTCGCCCAAGACATATAGTGGTTGCCCAAGACATATAGTGGTTGCACAAGACATATGGTGGTCGCACAAGACATATGGTGGTTGCCCAAGACATATGGTGGTCGCCCAAGACATATAGTGGTTGCACAAGACATATGGTGGTCGCCCAAGACATATGGTTGTCGCCCAAAACATGTGTGGTCGCACCTGACATAACGTGGTCTCACAAGACATATAGTGGTCGCACAAGACATATGGTGGACGCCAAAGACATATGGTGCTCGCACAAGATATATGGTTGTCGCCCAAGACATGTGTGGTCGCACACGACATATAGTGGTGGAACAAGACATATGGTGATCGCATAAGACATATGATTGTTGCATAAAACATATGGTGGTCGCACAAGACATATGATTATCACCCAAGACATATGGTGGTCGCACAAGACATATGCTTGTCGCCCACTATATATAGAGGTCGCATAAGTCATATGGTGGTTGCACAAGACATATGGTGGTTGCATAATACATATTGTGATCGAGCACGGCATATGGTGGGCGCACAAGACATATGTTGGTCGCATAAGACATATGGTGGTCGCACATGATATATGGTGGTCCCCCAAGACAAATGGAGGATGCACAAGACATATGTCTCACAAGACATATGGTGGTCGCCCAAGACAAATAGAGGTGACACAAGACATATGGTGGTCGCACAAGACAAATGGTGGTCGCACAAGACAAATGGTGGTCGCATACGACATATGGTGGTCGCACAAGACATATGGTGGTAGCCCAAGACAAATGGAGGATGCACAAGACATATGTCTCACAAGACATATGGTGGTCGCACAAGACAAATGGTGGTCGCACACGACATATGGTGGTCGCACAAGACATATGGTGGTCGCATACGACATATGGTGGTCGCACAAGACATATGGTGGTAGCCCAAGACAAATGGAGGATGCACAAGACATATGTCTCACAAGACATATGGTGGTCGCACAAGACAAATGGTGGTCGCACACGACATATGGTGGTCGCACAAGACATATGGCGGTCGCACAAGACATATGGTGGTTACACAAGACATATGGTGGTTACATAAGACATATTGTGGTCGCCCAAGACATATGGTGGTCGTCCAAGACATGTGGTGGTCGCACAAGACATATGGTGGTCGTCCAAGACATGTGGTGGTCGCACAAGACATAGGGTGGTCGCCCAAGACATATTGTGGTCGCACAAGACATATGGTGGTTGCTCAAGACATGTTGGTTGCTTAAGACATATTGTCGTCGTCCAAGACATATGGTGGGCGCACAAGACATTTGGTGGTCGTTCAAGACATATGGTGGTCGCACAAGACATATGGTGGTCGCCCAAGACATATGGTGGTCCCACTAGACATATAGTTATCGCACTAGACATATGGTGGTCGCCCAAGACATATAGTGGTCGCCCAAGACATATGGTGGTTGCACAAGACATGGTGGTCGCACAAGACATATGGTGGTTGCACAAGACATATGGTGGTCGCCCAAGACTTATGGTGGTCGCCCAAAACATATGTGGTCGCACCAGACATATGGTGGTCTCACAAGACATATAGTGGTCGCACAAGACATATGGTGGACGCCTAAGACATATGGTGCTCGCACAAGACATGGTTTTCGCCCAAGACATATGTGGTCGCACACGACATATTGTTGTGGCATAAGACATATGGTTGTTGCATAAAACATATGGTGGTCGCCCAAGACATATGGTGGTCGCACAAGATAAATGGTGGTCGCACAAGGCATATAGTGGTCGCACAAGACATTAGTGGTTGCACAAGACATATGGTGGTCGCACAAGACATAGTGTGGTAGCACAAGACATATGGCTGTCGTATAAGACCTATGGTGGTTGCATACGACATATGGTAGTCGCCCAAGACATATGGTGATTGCACAAAACATATGGTGGTCGCACAAGACATGTGGTGTCTTGTGCGTGATTTTAGTTCCGTGATTTTCACGGACCTATTTACTCTACCCACCTTGAAAGAAAGGACAAGACGAGAACATTACGATGTCAACACAGAAGACACCATTCAACATAACAGGCCAATTACACTTGATTAATCTTTGTTTGTATTGATTGCAACTGCCTCGTATGGGCCAATAGGCCCTCCACAGTTACCTCTATTCTTATGTTCTTATGTATCCCCCCCTGTTTTTACCTTAATTGTCTTATCACCTGACCCAGTGCGGGTATAAAATCAACCAAACCTGAAAATTCCCGCCGCTTGAGAATGAACCATGGAGGTTCGAAAAGTTGTGCAAATTGTATAAATAAGTGTAATACATTCTATAGTAATTCACTTCTTTTCTTTACCTTAAAATTACGAAAATGAGTTTTGGAGAACTCCTATTTCAGCTAAGCCCTGATGCTAAGAAAATAGTTACAGAGAAAGAAGCCCTAAATCAGAAAATAGTAAATACAGAATATGCGGTCATATTCAATGATATATATATATATATATATATATATATATATATATATATATATATATATATATATATATATATATATATATATATATATATATATATAAAGAGATTGTGAGGGTACCACCTCTGGTGCCAATGTGGGGACCCATAGCCTCGGAGAAGAAAATAAAAAGTATTCAGAGGAGACCTTGTGGTTTCTCACTGAACACTAATATTATCTTCTCCTATCACCCCCATTCTTTTGTATGTACACATATATATTTACTTTATTTGAACTTTGTTACAAAAAAGGAGTTACATATGGGTTACAACGATGGTTATCATAGGTTTTCGAGTTCCTCCAGCTCCTCAGATGGCGGGCAGGAACCCTGGATGCATGTATGTATGCATATATATATATTATTAAATATGACCGAAAAAGTAAGATTAATAATTCTAACACGAATTTTCTCAATGTTTCTTACATTTCTTTTCACTGCTGATGGTAACTGAAAAATCAATTCTCCAAAATTCCTTTTTATTTCAAGTCTGACGTGACACTTGAGCGCGTTTCGTAAAACTTATTACATTTTCTTTTACAAGACCTTAGTTTACACACACACAACTATAACTGAACAGAGTTTAAAACAGCTTCGATTTTATACCTGCGTTCGGGTGAGGTGATTTGTTACAACAGTTTTGGATAAGGTGAAAACAAACTTTCAACACAAGACAGAACACGAAACAATGGGCATAATATTTTGTAAGTTAAAGGGAAGAATGGAAGTAAGTGCAATGGGCCTATTGGCCCATATTTCTTGATGCTTCTATAT